CAATTCTGACCTCAGATTCGGTTTCAGCGGGCCAAAATACTATAGGAAATATATGTGTAGTTCAAGAAACAGACAACTTTTTTTTTTTTGTGTGCCTGTGTAACAATTAGAGGAGGCAATGATTTAAAAGTGTCAAGCTTCAATATAGTTTTAGAATCTCTTCTATAGTAGGAAGATTGAAAATTAGCATACATATCATAAAGTATGGAATATTGATTTTGATTAAAATTAAGATTTAAATTTCCATAAGGATATGATTGTGAATTCAAAAAGAGTTTTACATTTGTAATGTCACAGTGATCGAAATAACTGGCAGACTTTTTACGTTTATCTTCTCTTCCTGTTTGGAATCCAAAAATTACATATTCTCTAATTGTCATAATGATTTTATTTGCCACATGACTCTTGTACTTGACGGAATTAAAGGATATTCAAACATTTTCCACGATCGAAAACTCATTGAAATTAGTGGATCTTTCTCGATAAATTTCAATAACTTGATTTTATTATTATCTAAAAGTAAAACATATTGCACTAACCATTACACTTTATTAATTTGTATCTTGAACTGTTCATCTGCACCTTCGCCCGTTTGAATAATAGAATTTAAATCACTACGTGCTCTTATTACAAACAGTTGATGTTTAGCATTCATAACAATTTTTTTATAATCTTCAGCAAAACCAAAAACCATACCAAGTCGTATTGATACATCAAAATATCCATCTTGTAATGGCATTTTTGTATTCAATTCCAGATTCAAAACTCCTGCATTTTCAGCGCATATGTAATACACTGTTGCTCGGTAAAATAGATAAATCTTGATTTTGTACAATAATGCGAATTTCATCACTATTGTTAAACGATGAGGATGCATATGGTTGATGACTGTGAATCTCATAATTAGCTATGGATTCATCAAAATTCACTGATGCTGGAATGTTGAGAGTCTCCTCCATTTTTCTTATAACAGTGACACAAAATAAACAAGAAAAATTTTTATCCTCTTCTCTTCCTTAGTTTTGATTTCTGACACGTACCCTGGCGGATCTCGAATTCGGAATGTACGCTGAATTCGTTGTACATTCGTTACACATTGGTTAAACATTTAGTTGGAGTGAAAATTGTGTAGAAACTAAGTGGAAACTGTGGAAAAGTGTAATTGAATTGAATAATAAAAGTATTTAGTGATAGATTTGTGCTGTATTTGTGATAAATTAACGTGTTATTATTAAATAAATAAAGTTTAAAGTGTAAAATGTTCGCGTAAGTGAGTTTGACAGACTAGGGAATTTTCTAGTGACATTCAACTTGATAGTCGATAAAGAAGTTGAGCCGCCGACTTTGCACGGTAGGTGGCAGCATTCATACTTTCGCTATAGAGTTTTTACTATATTTAGAAGGATCCCCATTTATTGCGTATCCGTAAATAATATGACTCCATATAATATTAACAATAATTATTTATTATAAATGATATAACACAAGGTTAAAATATTTATAGAGGTACGTCACAATATAACCTCATTCTCTGAGCACAGCCAGATAAGAACTAACCTTCCTATAGTCATATGTGACTAGACTCTCCGTAGAGCTGTACGTAAGCAGTAGAAATATAAAAGTTACTAATGTCCCTATAACTGGGAGCAACCTCGAAGAAGAGAAGTCCCCACAATACTCCCCCCTTAGGTTTAAAATTATTTATGTAATAAAAAATTTATTTGTATAAACATTTCTCAAAAATAAAGATATATGTCGTATGAGAAAAAAAATCTTTGTTTACAAAAAAATTCGTAGTCAAATATCACTTCGATAATACTTAGAAATTATATTATACATTCGACGATACTTATAAATAGTGAGTTAAAATCTATGTCGCAAAAGTGACTTTTTTCTTACGAGTGTACGTTCTAAGATTAGACTGTTTATTAATACTAAGATCTTGATTGCTGGAATCGGTTATCGGATCATTAATAATACTCGGAGAATCATTTAAACTTGATGGAATAGAACGATTTTCATTTTCCATGTCTCTAGCAAAAAAGGCAGGTTTAATATTTTCGACCGAAACGTTACGAGCAGACCCATTTACATCGATCTCAAAAACTCGATCTGATGGTCGAGGTCCAGAATACGGGCTTTCTAAAGATTTACGAGTCATAACTCGTAGAAAAACATGCGAACAATTAGACAATTCTTTATACACGAAAATCTTTCGCTTATGCTTATGTGCTACAGGAATCGCTCTTATCTCCTTCATATTTTCTCGAAATTCCTCGAGAAAAACTTGTGGATTTGGTGAGAAATCGTCGGGCAGAACAAATTCGCCAGGAATGCGCAAAGTAGTGCCAAACACAAATTCCGCCGGAGAAGAAGCTCAATCCAACACATTATTTCGTAGGCCCAACAAAACAGTTGACAAAACTCGAGTCCAATTACGCGAAGAATGGCACATAATTGCCGCTTTAAGACACCGGTGCCAACGCTCTACCAACCCATTTGCTGCTGGATGATACGCAGTCGTTCTGATCCGATCGCAGCCAGTGAGTTTCAATAAAGCGCGGAAAAGCTGCGATTCAAACTGGCTGCCCTGATCAGTTGTCAGAGTCTCGGGTGAACCAAAACGAACAATCCAGTTGTCGACAAAAGCTCGACAGACCGTGGTAGCCTCAATATCCTTTAATGGTATTGCCTCAGGCCATCGAGAAAAACGATCGATGATGGTGAGGCAATAACGGAAACCGTCATCCACAGGCAAGGGACCAACTATATCCATGTGGATATGCTTAAATCGGGATTCAGGATCGTTGATATGGGCAGGATTTAGAACAGTATGTCTAGTGACCTTCGAACGCTGACAATCGAGACAAGACCTGCACCATCTCCTCACATCGCGACTCATGTTCGGCCAAACATAGCGCTTTCGAATGACACGATCAGTGACCCTAGCACCAGGATGAGCAGGATTGTGCATCAACTTGAAAACTTGTTCCCTAAAAACTTTCGGGATATAAGGACGAAGTGTTCCACCACCCAATTCGCAATAAACAGGAGAGCTACTTGGGCCCCATAAAAGTTTTTGTAATTTTATTGACATATCCGATGATTGCAAAATGTTTTTCAGCTCATCATCAATTCTTTGCGCTTCAGCAAGATCAGACAGCTGAATTTGAGTAGGAATGACAATAGCGTCAAGTCGGGACAAGGCGTCAGCGACAACGTTGTCACTCCCCGAAAGATGTTCAATCGTTGTGGTATACTGTGAAATAAATGACAATTGGTTTTGCTGACGAGGAGAAGCCTTCTCCAAGCGCTGCGAAAATGCATAAACCAATGGCTTATGATCGGTAAGAATCTCAAAATCCGAAACTCGAATTAAATCTCTAAAATATTTTATAGAATCATGAATTGCTGTAAGCTCGCGATCATAAGTGCTGTAATTCAACTGTGCTGGACTGAACTTACGAGAAAAAAATGCCAACGGCTTCCACTCGGAATCAATACTCTGTTCGAGAACCGCGCCCATTCCGGAACTGGATGCATCGGTGACAAGGCGCATTGGTGCATCCGAAGAAGGATGAGACAACAAAGTCGCATGGGCTAAGTCATGCTTTACTTGCTCAAAAGCGGCTTCAGCATCCGAGTTCCAAAGAATTTTACGCTTGTCGTTCTTTTTCGAATCTCTGAGAAAATCATTCAGCGGTGCCTGAACGCGCGCCGCGTGAGGAAGATTGCGACGATAAAAATTGACGAGACCAAGGAACCTACGAAGCTCGACAATAGTTTCCGGTTTTGGATATTCAACGATAGCTTTAACTTTTGCAGGAGTAGGTCCGACACCATGTTCGGAAATTAAATAACCAAGAAATTCAAGCTCTGTCTGACCAAAGACACATTTCGAAAAATTAATTTTAAGACCAAAGTCCCTGAGACGCTGAAAAACAATCTTCAGGTGCTCCTCATGCTCCTCCTCAGTGGTGGATGCTATGAGGACATCATCGATGTATGCAGAAACAAAGTCCAATCCGTCAAATACCTGGTGAATGAACCTTTGAAAGGTCTGACCAGCATTTCGCAGCCCGAATGTCATTACCAAAAATTCATAAAGACCGAATGGGGTAATGACAGCAGTTTTTTTAATGTCTTCAGGAGCGATTGGAATTTGATGATAAGCAGTCTTATATAGTCAGTCAGATAATCAATCTTCGAAAACCTCTTCTTCCCATGGAGCCTGGACGAAAATTCGTGGATATGAAGAACAGGGTATCTGTCAGGAACTGTCACAGCATTTAAACCACGGTAATCACCGCAGACCCTCCATTCATCGTTTCCCTTAGGAGCCAAATGAATTGGAGAAGCCCATTCGCCAGAAGAACGACGAACCTTACCAGCCTTCTCCCATTCCCGAAAAGTCTTCTCAGCATACTTTTGTTTTTTTAGAGGAAGTCGACGAGCACGAAAAAAAACCGGATAACCTTCAGTGATAATATGATGATGAACAGCACGTGTTGGAGGACGCTCAGGTTGTATCAAACTAGTAATTTCGGGATAAGACGACAAAATTTTTGCATAAGTTGACTTACGATCCGTGGTTGCCACATCACAAACAGATGCTTTATGCAAGAAACCAACGGCCTCAATTTGAGTGAGAGGATCAACTAATCTGCATCGACGAAGATCAACAACTAAGCCATAATGAGACAACAGGTCCGCTCCAATTATGGGATAAGGAACCGCAGCTACACAAAAATTCCACGAAATTGCGCGTCTCAAACCAATATTTAATGTCAAATTGCGTTCACCGAAAGTCGGGATTCGAGTATCGTTAGCAGCATATAGGAAAAGCTCGGTTTGTCTAGATTTAGATTTTTTATTAACATGAATAAGGGAAACATCGGAACCGGTATCGCTAAGAAACTTCATTCGGGTTTCCCGATCGATAACATGGAGACGTTTAGAAGAAGCACCCACTCCGACTGTCTCCGTACGGAGGGGGGCTATTAGTTTTCCTTAACCTCCTTTTTATTATCATTTCCGTTCTCCTTGGAATAATCAACCCAAGAGCAAGGCTTTCTACAATCTCTCGCCTTCTTTCCAAACTTTTTATGATAAAAACATCTTTCATTCGGATTCGAAGGTTTAGAACGAGCTCTTCCCTTTGATTTAGATCGAGATCTGTTATTAGAATAATTGTCGCGAGAACGAGATTCACGTTTTAAAGAAGATACTTGCGCGGTCAACGAGTCAATTCTTTTCATAAGGTCTGAAGTATGCGCATCTTCAACCATAGTTGAAGCAACATTTACGGTTGTCAGCTCGACAGTTTCGAAGATCTTATCAGCCATAACGGCGAGATTAGAAAGATCCTCGATTTGAGACGCAACTAATATAGCACGATGTTGAACTGGCAATTGATCCAGAAAAATAGAACGAATGATATCGGTACCGCACCGATTATCATTCAAATTATTTAACCTGCTAAGGATTTGTGATGGTTTCCCTGCAGAAGAAACATCACCCTTAAGTAACTGCCGCAAACGTGCTTCAGAAGAAACAGAAAAATGACGAATTATTCGCGCCTTAATCCGATCATAAAGATTCTCAGGACGAGGGTTTATGATGATTAAATCGCGAATGCATATTATAACATCCGCATCCAACTGTGCAATAACGTGATTAGATTTAGTTTTATCACTCGTGATTCTCCCGTTCGCAAAAACAGCTTCGACTTGAATAAACCATAAGCTCGGATCCTCCACATAAAATTTTGGAATCTTGCCTAAACGAGTGGCATCAACCTGATCATGGATCTGCAATTCCGCAATACGCGCGACCGCATCATCCAGTTCGACCTTCAACTGATCCAAATCTTCCCGAGAAGCCATTGCGAAATAAAATTCGAAAATAAAGTTTTTATTTATAAATAAAACTCAAAATGCTCGATAGTTATATAAAATTATATAAAAAAAAAACGTACAAATACTCTTATAAAAGTATTCGGAACCTCACTGAACCAAATCGAACATAACAAAAATAAATTCTCATCAAAGGTAAATCTCGAACCCGAAACCAGCAATCAAAATGTTACTCAAATTGTACATTTATAAAATCGTGTGACGCACAGAACGAAACGTAGTAAAAACAAAAAAAAAGTTAAAGCGAGAATATCGTTGCTAATATCGCTAAACAAAACCATAAAAAAAAATAATGCAAATTTCCATGTCAATTGAATTATTCAAAAATTGAAACGCAGAAAATAATATTGTTTACAATATCTTTGTAGAATCGCTTATATCAAAATAATTAGACTTGTCAAATATCTTTAAGTCTATGAGCGAGAGAGAAAAAAAAATATATATATATATTCCCAAAAAAAATTTTTCGAAAATGACTTTAAGTTAAATTAAAATTTAAATAACTCACTTCAAAAATGACGCAAAGAAAAGTAAGATTGAAATTGTAATGTAGATCATAATAACAAAGATCACATTGTCAATCCACAAAGGCGTTGTCAAAGTAATTCTCATTTCGTAAATAAATTTTTGTTACGGTACATCGTTAATCAAAAATTAGTTAATTTTAATATAATAAAAGGGAAAAATAATGTTGAAATTTCCTCATAATATTGAAAATTTAAAATTTCTCACTTTGCAAGTAATATTTTTCAAATATGCATCAAATCCACAAAAAAATTTTTAATTTTCGCGAAAAACGTCAATATCGCAAAATAGATTATGTCAAAAAAAATGTTGCGCGGAAGCACAATATATTTAAAATGATTCTTTTAAAATAATATTAAGAATTAAATATTTCTGCGTCAAATGTAAGATAAAAAATAAATAATAACTTACGATAATAGATATGACAAAAAACAGATAAAAGCAAGAAAAAGTGTGTACAAGACAATACGTCCTTCGAGGTAGATGCAGCTGGAGAATGCGACGTATAGTTCCATCCAAAAATTGAAAAAGTCTTCCTCTCGACTCGGCACCAGCACCAGGAGTTGACAGGAACAAAGTCTCGTAATGAAACTCTCAGGATTACGCCGTGAAAATCAGAAAAAGAAAAGACTCATCAGGGGACAGAAGAGTCTTGAAACTGTTATTTTGCACCAGGAAGGAAAAATTCACATACCTGTTGCATAGGCAGGAATGGTAGGCCTATGCGCCGTTTCAAAAAGTGTTTGAAAAGTCAGTTGACTGCATTTCCGCAAACAATTGAATGAAAATTTTACATCAATTCCTCAAAGTCGTAGAAAAATTGGCAGCAACGAATATTCTGCTTGGCATTGTCAAAGATGATAAAAAACGTCAGATATCCTCAAAAGCAGTGAATTATTTAATAAACTGGCTCGCTGATATTGACTCAGAGTAACTGCTCCAAAATGGCGAAATCAGTATATGACCGCATGGCAAATATGTGAAGCGAAAAAGATGACATAAAATCACTTCCTTCATTAAAAATATTGCCAGGGATAAATCAAGAAAAAATTCTTGTTGCGATAAAATTTTAAAAAATTTTTCGAATTTGCATATTTGTGCAGATAAAAATCGATATATATTTTTGCACTTTAACCTCGTGGCCGACGAGAAATTGATCACGTCGGGGTCACCACTATGGAGTTTTTACTATATTTAGAAGGATCCCCATTTATAGCGTATCCGTAAATAATAGGACTCCATATAATATTAACAATAATTACACAGCCACACAAAAAAAAAAGTGTCATGTACTTTTGACCGGAATACCCTAACCCTATGTATTTTGAAGCGCTGAACACGAATCCGAAGTCCGTTTTGCTCCATCACGTCAGGATTTTTTTCTAACCTCAAAAAACATGTCGGATTTTGAGAAGTAGTCGATTTTTTTAAAAATTGATGTATTAACTTCAAACTTGGAATCTGGGGGTTTTTTGTGTCGATGATTATGAATCTGAAGTTAGATTTTCAAAATCCAAAATGGCGGATACAATATGGCTGACGAATTTTGAAAAAATTATAAGATTTACTTCAAACTTGGTATCTAGGGGTTTTTTGGGTCGCTGATTACGAATCTGATGTCAGATTTCTGAAATTCGATATGCCTGATTCAAAATTAAGGAATTATTTTTAAAAAATTGTCAGATTATTACGAAATTTGGTATCTACAGGTTTTCTAAGTTGCTGACAAGTAACACTAGGGAAGTGCCATACGCCGATTTTTCTGAAACTTGTCAGTTTTGTAGTTTTTTGAAAACAATTTGACATGTATGTTTTGTTTTTCACCAAAAGCTGATTTATGGGGGGGAACTACCCCTTGAATTTTTTTTGGTAGGGGGACATTATTTTAGGAAATTTTTTAAAAATTAATGTGCAATAGAGTATCTGGGGGTTTTTTGGGTCGCTGATTACGAATCTGAAGTCAGATTTCAAAAATTCAAAATTGCATATCCAACATGGACTTCTATCAGCCATATTATAGATACGCCATTATCAATTTTTGAAAACTGACATCAGATTCGTAATCTTACTTGTCAGCAACTTAGAAAACCTGTAGATACCAAATTTCGTAATAATCTGACAATTTTTTAAAAATAATTCCTTGATATTGAATCAGACATATCGAATTTCGGAAATCTGACATCAGATTCGTAATCAGCGACCCAAAAAAACTCCCAGATACCAAGTTTGAAGTTAATACATCAATTTTTTAAAAAATCGCCTACTTCTCAAAATCCGACATGTTTTTTGAGGTTAGAAAAAAATCCTGACGTGATGGAGCAAAACGGACTTCGGATTCGTGTTCAGCGCGTCAAAATACATAGGGTTAGGGTGTTCCGGTCAAAAGTACATAACACTTTTTTTGTGGGGCTGTGTTATTTATTATAAATGATATAACACAAGGTTAAAATATATATATAGAGGTACGTCACAATATAACCTCATTCTCTGAGCACAGCCAGATAAGAACTAACCTTCCTATAGTCATATGTGACTAGACTCTCCGTAGAGCTGCACGTAAGCAGTAGAAATATAAAAGTTACTAATGTCCCTATAACTAGGAGCAACCTCGAAGAAGAGAAGTCCCCACATCGCCTTTTTAAAAATTCTCTTTTTCAATTGTAAATAGAAAAATTAATTAATTAATAAGTTACATAGTTTCTATGTTGTCATTTTTTTTAACAATTGAATTTTTGAAGATTGTTTAATGAGATAAATTAAACTTGTATAATCGATGCAAATTGTTGTTTTTAAAATACTTTTGAATAAATCTTTTCTTTTAATTACATTTATATTAAAAATAAATAATAATAAAATAAAGAAAGATAAAAAAATTTTTCTTTATTAAAATTATTACACAATTTTCACTCCAACTAAATGTTTAACCAATGTGTAACGAATGTACAACGAATTCAGCGTACATTCCGATTTCGAGATCCGCCAGGGTAGACCTAGCTGCTTCAGGAATTGTCGACTCTGAGGTGTTAACACCTTCCGAGCTGTACTCAAACTGATCTTCGGTGGACACGGTGTTTGAGTTTTATAACTACTTCCAACTTTTCGATTATAAAGAATACCCATTACATTGATTTAATGTGTAAACGGATTGTTATTGTCTCTCCTCTAAAATTAACCAAAATACCGTTCTGATCTACTATACGTAGCTGAATGTTATGTATTGTCCTTACGGCGACTGGAAGATAAATGATGTGTGCTGGAACTTCTACAATCTTATATCCTGGTGGAACAGTAGGTATGTATAGTGTGAACTTTTTCACCATTTATATACGCTCCAGTGGTAAAACTACTTTCAATGCGTAGAGCATTCACTTTCAAAATTTTTACAGGTAAATCGGAGTAATGTTTTAAATTTGGAATTAGTTTGCGAGCAGTGAATCCCAATAAACTACTAATAGAATCTTCAGGAGTAAAATCAATCAAAAGATTTTATTTAATATTGCATCCTAATGTACTATTGTTGGAATCTATTGCTAAATAATCTTCATCTGGTATTTGACGTCTCAAATATTCTTCTATATCTTTAATTTCATAACTACCAGTAGGTATAGTATTCTCAAAATCATCTATGTAAAATTTGTTGAAACTTTCATCAATATTAGGAATTGAGTTATATGTAAATAAATCAACCAGTCCAAGTGTATAATTTTTATTAGGTGAAAGTTCAATAGGTGGGAAGTATAAAGTCTCCAGAACTGAAGACATTCCCGTTAACGTTAAAGTAAAAGAGTCATTCATGTTGGACATCTACTTTTATACTGAAGGTTATAATTGTTTACATATTCTTATATAGATTAAAACTGTTCTTAACGTTAAGTTGCTTACATAAGAATTTAAGACATAAATGACCACATATAAATGTATCAAAATTTTGACATCTCTCATGATTATATTTTTATAGCTACCAACACCTAGATAAACAATGAGATCTAATGGTGGTGAAAGATTTCAAAAACTATCAAAATATTCCGTTTCATTGTTTATCTTTTTATATGCTACCCAATGTGTTCCAGGACCTTCTTTATTATCAAGATTAATTATGGCTGATTCACATTTATAAGGTCCTGTAATAGGTAATTCATTTCTCATAAAAACTCCACGAAATTTAGGTATTTTCATAAGTTTAGCATATTTAAGTAAATCATAGTCGGTGAGATAGCTTCAATATTAGTTTTTTTGAACGCTCTTTGTATATTTCAATCCATTTCATTGATGTGGTTTAATATAAAGACCAAGTCCTTCAAGAAGGGGTTTCAAATATATACCCTTTCCTATAGCAATTGCCTCCATTGTTTCATTATGTCGATGAGCTTCTGAAAGTTGTTTTTTAGCAGCATTAAGATCATTTACTACTTTTACAATACCACTGACTCTACCACTAAGTGCTC